TTTTAACAAGACCTGAGGAGAGACGCACCTTAAAATAGGCTTCATTTTGCTTGTGGTACTGTTGTTATTCGATGCAGAGCCTCCTTGGGCTGCTGCCCCGTTCCCTGAGGGGTTACTGGAGTTCATCTCAGCTGATTTCTGGAACACCTCTATAGTGGCCTTGGCTATGTTCTCCAAGAGAGAGTAGAGTTCCTGAAGGAAAACAAATAAGAAACCATCTGATGTGTCTGATAACAGAAACCCCACGATTATGTTGTTTTCTTTTCTTTTTTAAAACAAACAGATAACACTTACATTGTTGGTGCTCTGTTTGATCATCAGCTGCAGCTCCAGAGACGACTGTCTCATCGTCCACTGGTCCATATTCTGCATCAGGGAAAGGATTACTCTTAAATTATATTCTTGTGGTAGAAATTAACAACCTGTCATGAACAAGTTATAGTTGAGGCATTAGTCCTGTGTTAAACATGTCCTAAACATGTTAGATTTTCTGCTTTTGTTTTAAACCACATGTAAAGGGACATAATGTGAATATTAAAAACAGCCTTTGATACTTTACGCAACTAAGGCTGTTCATAATTTTTATTTATTTATTAACCTTTATTTAACCAGGAAAATCCCATTGAATAAAACCTTAATCAATGGGAGATTAAAAACCTCTTTTTCAAGGGAGACCTGGCCGAGATAGGCAGCAGCAGGTGTCTCACAGTTACAGAAATGACTCAAACACAGGCAGCAACAACAGACATGCAACAATAAGTGAAAGAATACAAATAAAATTCAATAAAATTCAATAAAATTCAAATAAAAATAAATAAATAAAAAATCAGTTAAAATGACAATCAATCTAATAGAAACAGTTGCATGTTATGGACTTGGCCTCAAGGATTCGTAGTTTAGATTTAAAAGCACTTAATGAAATAAATTCAGTCATTTTCCTTCTGCAGTTTGTTCCAAGCCGACGGTGCTAAATGGACAAAAGCTCTTTTACCAATTTCAGTTCGGGCAAATGGAACAGAAAGCAACAAGTAACAAATAATTTATTATGTAAACAAACAGTTCACTATGTGTCTGTATTTTAAAACAGGGGCATGTTTTTCTTTACTGATCCGATTTTTTCTGGTGGCCCATTAAATGAAATGAGTTTGACACTAAAACCCTTACTTAGCCAGCAGAGGGCAGCAACACTCCACCAATCCAACTCAAGCAACAACTTGATAACAAATGATTTCAGACAAATTAAAGCTGTTACAGTTAACACGCTCGTTCTAAACGGCAAACAAAGTTTCATGCATCATGTGAACTTTTTTTTTTCTCTACCTGGAGGATGCGTTTGATACGCTGCCTCTGAGGGTTGTCGCCGTCATCACTGTCCAGCTGGCGGTGAGGATAGCAAATAAGCTGCAGCAGTCGCTGGGCTTGAATGTTCACCAGCACCGGGTCTTGGAGGGCACTGCTGTCCTCAGACAGAGACTTCAGGCAGCGTTCTCCAACCCATTCCTGAAAAAGAAGGGAAAAGGCGTAAAGTGGGAAATGTCAACAACTCCAGCGACCCCCACGTTCAGGTTCAAGTATCAAGATGAACTCAGTCATCCAAAACAAGCTAGGTGAGTGGTAATGAAAACAGGGCAATGGGTCAATTCTTATGAAACAGAGCTGCTGACTAAAAAATATTTTGGAAATTTCATGAGATCTCAGAGCAAGTACATTCCTCTAAGATGATGAGCTGCCAGCTCGTCCTCCAGCCTTCATATCTAAGTGACATCTGGTGCAGAATATGATCTCATTCATGCTTTTTATGCACCTCTGGCTTACTGAATTTATGTGAAGTACAAAATAAGAATAATCAGTTACTATTTGCTGTCTCGCAAAAGCTTTCTGACAAAAAAAA